TATGATAATGCTTATTTTATTTTACGGAATATTTTAAAGATATTTTTGTAGCTGCGCATAATACGCACCCCCGATTTTGCTTATTATTTTTCAGAAAAAATGCGTATTATACATGGGGAATTACGGTATGTAAGCATTTTAGAAATACCAAAATGGGACCTGGCCCAAAATGTGTTGGGAACCACTGCGCTAGACGTTTCTCCATTGAACTTTTATCTTTTTTTTATCATTTCACTTCAAGCGAGGTGGGGAATACCACTAGTACGCAGGGGGTTACATGGAGTGAAACTGAGAGAAAAGATTGGGTATAGTGGGGATTGGGGAAAGGACAAATGATGAACGGGGTTCAAGACATCAAAAGATGGCGATTGACGTTGCTTTTAAATTTGGGGGCATTGTTAATTTCAGGGAAGCAAATAAACGAAAGGAAGCTCCACAGGCGGGAAGTACGAGAAAAGAAACTGGCGGGATTGCCACTAGCACACGGGGGGGGTACAGTGAGTGAAAATGAGAGGGGAAAAAAATTAGTATAGCGAGAATTGGGAAAGGATAAAAGATGATCGGTATTAAAGAAGAAAGAAGATGGCGATTCACGTTGCATTTAAATTTTTGAAAATTGGGTTTTCAGGGAAGCAAGTAAACGGAAGGGAGTTTCACTGTTGGGAAGTGTGAGAAAAGAAAATTGTTGGTGTAGAAGTGGCGGTTACATTTAACTATTTCAACAGTAAAACGGTGGGACCTAAATGCCAATCTAGTAGCACGCTTAAATTCATGTAGTCGGGGTACCAGGGAAAAAAGTACCCCAGAGCAGTTGCCATGAAAATATTTTTAGAAAAGACAGAGGGAAGACACATCACGTTTGCGAGAAAGTGAGTGAAGTCGAGATGCCAAGACAGGACCGATTATATTGCAGATCCTTCTTTGGATTTTGTCAAGGACATCGAGATAAGTAGCAGGAACACAGGACTGCAGGTTCGCGAGTTTAAATAGCTGGGAATCGTTTTGAGATCGGTAAGTGCGACACTGAGATCCGTAGACGTAATAGGATGACCAAGAACGCATTTCAAAAGTTGGGCAGAGTGTTGCGAAACAGGAGGATCTCTTTGGTAAAAAAGAAAAGAGTACTGAGCTGTTACGTGACATCTGACCTCTGACATCTGAATGTTGGACGGTCTCCTCAAAGATGAAGAAGAGACTCGAGGCGACGGAGATCTGGTTCTACAGAAGGATGTTAAGGATATCATGGACCGAGCGTGTGAGCAACAATGAGGTCTTAGAGAGGATGCAAACAAGGAGGAGGCTTCTACTTAACATCAGGAAGAGGCAGTGAATGTTGGACGATTTCCTCAAAGATGAAGAAGAGACTCGAGGCGAAGGAGATGTGGTTCTACAGAAGGATGCTAAGGATATCATGGACCGAACATGTGAGCAAAGATGAGGTCTTAGAGAGGATGCAAACAAGGAGGAGGCTTATAATTAATATCAGGAAGAGGCAGCGAATGTTGGATGATTTCCTCAAAGATAAAGAAGAGACTCGAGGCGACGGACATGTGGTTCTACAGAAGGATGCTAAGGATATCATGGACCGAGCGTGTGAGCAACGATGAGGTCTTAGAGAGGATGCAAACAAGGAGGAGGCTTATACTTAACATCAGGAAGAGGCAGCGAATGTTGGACGATTTCCTCAAAGATAAAGAAGAGACTCGAGGCGACGGAGATGTGGTTTTACAGAAGGATGCTAAGGATATCATGGACCGAGCGCGTGAACAACGATGAGGTCTTAGAGAGGATGCAAACAAGGAGGAGGCTTATAATTAATATCAGGAAGAGGCAGCGAATGTTGGATGATTTCCTCAAAGATAAAGAAGAGACTCGAGGCGACGGAGACATAGTTCTACAGAAGGATGCTAAGGATGCCATGGACCGAGCGTGTGAGCAACGATGAGGTCTTAGAGAGGATGCAAACAAGGAGGGGGCTTATACTTCACATCAGAAAGAGACAGTGAATGTTGGACGGTCTCCTCAATGATGAAGAAAAGACTCGAGGCGACGGAGATGTGGTTCTACAGAAGGATGCTGGGGATATCATGGACCGAACATTTGAGCAACGATGATGTCTTAGAGAGGATGCAAACAAGGAGGAAGCTTATACTTAATATCAGGAAGAGGCAGCTGAAGTTAGCGGGCTAGCAGGCGTGAGCAAGTGAATGACAGAACGCAGTCTGGGGGAAGTAGCCAAGGGACAGAACTTGTTGAGAGCTGCAAGGAATAGGGAAAACTGGAGAGCCATGATCGCTTACGTCCTGAAAGTATACGACACATAAAAAGGAAGAAAATCAATGGACGGTCGAATGGTCTATTTGTGTCAGTTTGATCAAAGAAGAGACTTACTAAGTATCTGAGATTGTTATTTGGCAGATCGTTGATACAAAGCCGAATGTTGATCTCACCAAGGAGAGATCCTTGATCTTACAAATTTCTTTTCGTAATTTAATACCCCTAAAGCTCCGGGTTTGACTCAGACAAATGGTGATAGCGTATATCACTGGGATGCTTATACATTCGAAGGAAATTTGTAGAGCTTTATAACGAATATGACGGACTACCTTCATTCACTTCTTTATTACAGGTTAAGCCTTCTCGAATAATACTGTATTCATGACTCAAAACACGGTGAGCTTCGGTACTAACACAGAATCGTCCTGGGTATGACGATAAACTACATCCAACAACAAGGCCTCTGACACAGGAGGGTTTTCAGGAACGTGTAACCACCTCTTAATTGCTGGTGTTCACAGGTCCACCCTGACCCGGGCTGGTAGCACCTGTTAAGGTCCCATCTATGGGCAAATAGTTAACCCCCAAACTCGGACCAAAACATTATGAAAGTGTAAAAATAGGTCTTAATACCAGAAATACTTTGTAAAAAAATTATTACCAGTAATACATTAAAAAAAATATTAACAGCTATACATTTTTGAAAAAAAAAATACCAGATATACATTTTTGAAAAAAAAAACATTACAAGCGAAGGAAAATTATTACTAGAAATAGATTTTTTGAAGGAAAAAATATTACCAGAAATAGATTTTTGGAAAAAAAATATTACCAACAATGAAAATTTGTCGGCATTAAATAACCCATTGAGGCTGATATACCGTAAAACAAACCAAACCAAACTAACACAGAAAAACGAATCCTTTTCTTTTTTTTTTTTCAGATTTAACAACTTAAGTCTTTGGCAATTTCAACCATGGAAAGATTAACAATCAAACAATGTGTTAAAGTTTTCAAAGCCTATTACGAAAATGGATGTTCAAACAGAAATGCAAAGAGAAGTTCCCAGATCGCATCATCTTTCGAAACAGCAAAGTCAGTTGGCGACCACGATCGTGCGACTTGACGCCTTTAGATTTCTTCCTTTGGGCTCATCTCAAAAGTAAGGTCTATGCCAACAAGCCAACAACAATTCAACAGCTGAAGGATGAGATAATAAGGCATATTGGTGAAATCGAGGAGCAACTATGCAGAGACGTCATCAAAAATTTTGGCCATCGAGTGGAGGTGTGCCGCCGGAGATTTGGCTGACATTTGGGTGATATTATTTTTCACACATAATTGCCATGAGTTAAATAACATGATCCAAATAGAGAAATAAATTAATTTTCCCCAATAACATTGATTTATTGACTGCTAACTTTGATCCGTCTTAATGAAACACCGTTTATAACTCTGATACTCCTGCATTTGTACAAAATCGGTGCATTGAATATAGCAAAGATGCCGGACTGCCTTCATTACCCTCTTTTTAATATCTTTGGTTTTCGTGTGTTATGAAATGCCTTTATAGCCTAAAACCCCCTGAATCTTCAGGACTGACAGAATCACGAATACTGATAGCACATATAACGCGGATATTCCAGAATATCTACAAAATCAGTGCATTGAATATAGTTAAGATGACGGACAGTCTTCATTAACTTCTTTATTGTAGTTCTTTTGCTTATATAATGCTTCTAGAGATCCTGCACTCGCGTCTAATACAATGAAAAGCAATACTGAGAGCTAAAATCCCTAGAACACAGATGCATATGAGCAAAAGATAACGGGCTTCCTTCATTAGGGATAGGAAGTTGTAGAGGGCCATGATCGCTCACGTCATGAAAGGATGTGGCAAATATAATATGGCTGGTTGTTTGCCACGGTTTATCAATCGTTTGCAAGTTATTAAAAGCCAGAAAATAATTTTGCATTGCAGATTTTTTAGATAATAATGATTTAATGATACAAGTTTTAATAATTAACCCATAGCTAGGGGGAGAAGAGATGGATTCGCACCTTTCCCATAGTACGTGAATATAATGAACCCAACTGGAATTAGAACTCGACTCTGCGATTAACAATTCCGAGCCATTATCCATTACACCACCCGCACATTCAAGCTTGCCACGCCTGGCATTCCCAATCAGTCACCCATCTAGGTACTGGCCAGGCGCGATGTTGCTTTGGTGATCGTATGGGACCAAGTGCTTCAATTAGATGGGGCCATAAGCCTTTTAAACCAGATGCAAATCCAGGCTTACAGCACCTGGTATTCCCAATCAGTCACCCATCTAGGTACTGACCAGGCGCGACGTTGCTTAACTTTAGTGATCGTATGGGAACAAGTGTTTCAATGTGATGTAGCCATAAGCTTTTTAAATCAGTTGCACATCCAGGCTTACATCACATGGTATTCCCAATCAGTCACCCATCTAGGTACTGACCAGGCCCGACGTTGCTTAACTTTGGTGATCGTATGGGAATAAGTGTTTCAATGAGAAGTGACCATAAGCCATTTAAACCAGGCGCACATCCAGGCATACAGCACCTGCTATTCCCAATCAGTCACCCATCTAGGTACTGACCAGGCTCGACGTTGCTTAACTTTGGTGATCGTATGGGAATAAGTGTTTCAATGAGAAGTGACCATAAGCCATTTAAACCAGGCGCACATCCAGGCATACAGCACCTGCTATTCCCAATCAGTCACCCATCTAGGTACTGACCAGGCTCGACGTTGCTTAACTTTGGTGATCGTATTGGAATAAGTGTTTCAATGTGAAGTGGCCGTAAGCCATTTAAACCAGGCGCACATCCAGGCATACAGCACCTGCTATTCCCAATCAGTCACCCATCTAGGTATTGACCAGGTTCGACGTTGCTTAAATTCGGTGTTTTTTTTTTTGTGGGGGGAGGGGGGTTCTTAGTGGGAGTTTTTTTGGGGGATTTGTTTTTTTGTGGTTTTTTTTTAGATATTAATCATTTTGGGGGATGGACAATTATTCTGTTACACGATTTTGACAATTTTGCTGTTACAACTTTTGTGAATGTCTCCCTTTTTGTTCAATATATTTTTCTTAGGGTGAACCCAGTATATATACTGGGGTCTCCACAGATCAACTCTTTTTTTTAAATCAAGTTTCCTGATGGATATTAAATCTAGTGAAACTACTGGTGTTTCCTGGATTGTTATGTTCCCTGTGGGTCCCGCTTTCATGGCTTTCAACCGCACAAACTTAAAGTTTGTGCAATAAACTTCTGCCTGACCTTGGAGCAGCGTCAAAGAAAACAAACTTCCCCGGTAATTGTCATAAGTTCGATAACTACTGGGAACGTCATATCTTCAACTTCGCTCGGTTTCATAAGACGTGGGTGGGGAGCTTAGAATACGCCGACTACTTATGTCGAGAGTTAAGACCCCACAAATGGGGTCTCCTTCTTCCGTGTGGATTCCTGCAGACTTCACTACAAATCGGGCAAATGTTTAACTTTGGCACCATGCATAAGATTTTAAAAATGCTTAGTTTTCGATCGAGTATCAACTGAACCAATGCCGACATTTTAACTCGAGTATATATCTGGTCAATGTTCAACCTCTGACACAGGAAGGTTTTGAGGAGCGTGGAACCCCCTGTTAATCACTGTTGTTCACAGGTCCACGCTGACCCAGGGTGGTAGCACCTGTTAGGGTCCTAATTCTGGGTAAATTACAAAACCCCGAACTGGGGTCAAAACACGTTGAAAGTATAAAAATACCAGCAATACATTTTCATAGTAAAAATTACTAATAATACATTTAAAAATATATATATATATATATATATGTGTGTGTGTGTCTGTGTGTGTATGTGTGTGTGTGTATGAATGTGTTCCGTATAGGATACAGGTTCGATTCCTGTCGAGTTTATTATAAGCAGAGCATTTACGAAAATATTTGTATAAACAGAGCATTTACTTAAATATTTGTATCTATAAAATGAATGTATAAGCATAAAAATGTCTTAAAATAATTGTCGGGCCATTTTGGAATTTTTAGGGTGCTAGTGAGCCATCCAAAATGAGTTGACTCATTTTATAGTTCACCAATAGACGGGTTAACCAATGAGAAGGTTCAAAATATTCAATGCGACGTGTATAAAGGCGGCCATATTTTTTTCCCAAATACGCATGGCCAGCCTTTGTTATCGAAGATTGAAGAATACCAGAACAGCTGCTGCTGCTGCTGCTGCTGCTGCTGGTGGTGGTATTGGCGATATAGTCAGATTCAGTAGAGTGTCTGACTCGTGAGTATTAATCTTTAACGTTGTTTCATTGAACAGATTACGTACTGCGCTGTATTCTATATCCATAGACTATGATGAACATGGTTAACATCCATTTCATAATATATATATATATATATATATATATATATATATATATATATATATATAAATATAAAAGTGAACATAGAAGTCAACACTTAGAGGCGACAGTCTGTTTCATGCTATATGCAATCGTCAGGCCACATATGCTGTTATTTTTCTCGGCTATTTATATATATACGGGTTAGTGGTGCATTGTGGGTATTCTATTATGGCGGTTATTTTTTACCGGAAGTCGCTTTGTTTATTTATTTGGGTCAAATTATATTGCTCGTTTTTATTTTTTTTTCTTATTTTATTTATTTATTTATTAACGTAGTAAAAATTTGTTTATATCACGTATTTAACAGTTTTGTTTTGTTTTGAGAATATATATATATATATATATATATATATATATATATATATATATATATATATATATATATATATATATATATATATATATATATTACGTAAAACAAAAGGCCTATGGCTACAGAAACACAGATACACCTTCCTATCCTTAGAATATATATTAATTTACCAACTTAGCCACAGTGGGGCGTTTCCATATAGGATACAGGTTCGAGTCCGGTCGGAGGACACATATTTTCTATGAAATTTCTCGAACATTCAGGCCGGTAAATGTTGTTAATACTGTTTATTATAAACAGTGCATTTACTTAAATATTTGTATCTATAAAAATAACGTATAAACAATAAATATATTAAAATAATTGTCGGGTTTAGTCCATTACATAATATATGACGTCATTTGTTTACGTTAAGATCCGCTTCAAGAAGATATGAGCGTTCGAGAGAAATCTTGGAAAATTTGTAGTTTAAAAGCCTTAATTCGACCTTGCTAACCAGCCAGTTACTTGTAGCTAAATGGTATAGCAAGTGAGGCTATATGTCGATTCCATGTAGGATACAGTTCGATTCTTGTCGGAGAACACACATTTTCTATGATATTTCTCGGACGTTCAGGCGGTAAATTTTGTTAATGTTGTTCATTATAAGCCGAGCATTGACTTATATATATATATATATATATATATATATATGTATACGTGTCTGTGTAAACAAATCATTTTTGAAAAAAAATTACCAACAATACATTTTTGTAAAAAAAAAAAGAAATTTAACCAGTTTTATATTTTTGAAGAAAAAATATTACCAACAATGTATATTTTTTGGAAAAAAAGAATATATATATATATATATATATATATATATATTACCATCAACACATTTTTCTAAAAGAAATTACTAATACTCCCAAGAAAATTAAATTTTGGTATTAAATGACCCATGAGAAGTTAAAATGCCACTAAACAAGCAAACAAATCTTTTGTCTCGAGTATAAATCGGACCAATATTTACCTTTTGACTCAAGTATAAACCGGGTCAGTGTTTATTTTGCCTCATGTATAAATCGGTTGAACATTTACTTTTTATCTCAAGTACAAATCAGATCACAGTTTTTTAGGGTTTTTTGTTTTGTTTTTTGTTTGTTTTTGTTTTTTTGTTTTTTTGCAAGTACAAATTGAACCAATATTTACATTTTGCCTCAAGTACAAACCGGAAAAAAATGTTTAATTTGTTTCAAGTATAAGCGGACCATTTGCCTCAAGTACAAACCAGATCAATGTTTCCTTTTGTGTCAAGTATATGCGGACCAGTATTTATATTTTGCCTCAAGTATAAAGCGGACCAATGTTTACATTTGTTTCACGTATTATATCTACATTTTGCCTCAAGTACAAACTGGACCAATGTTTACTTTTGTGTCAAGTATAAAGCGGAACAAAGTTTATTTCTGTCTAAAGTATAATCCGGAAAAATGAATTCGACGTATGAGGGTCAAGCAGATCAATTCCCAGGAGACCGACAGCCCGACAACAGCACATGAGATTTGATTATAGCGGTGAAGGCTTCGTGCAGGACCATCCACACTTTTTGAAGGGACGAATACAGAGACCTGGTGCACTACGTGCCACAAGGTCCCCAAACGACCCACTGCAGGTTTTGAATTCAGAGTTGTCCTTCTCCTAGACCAGTTGCCATCCAAGGCTATAGAACCCAGTCTGTCCTGCTATTTTACCCATAGCTGGAGGGGAGAAGAAGATTAGCACGTAAGTGAATGTAATGGATTCGACTGGAATTCGAAATCGTATATATATATATATATATATATATATATATATATATATATATATATATTTTTAACATTGATATATATATATATATATATATATATATATATATATATATATATATATATATACTTTAACATTGATATATATATATATATATATATATATATACTCTGACTTAAATTGGGCTTATGTTTAGTTTTTTTTGGTTTTTGTTGTTTTTTTTTTCATTCTCTAAACTCTATCTACCACTTAAATGAATTCGATCTTCGTGTCGTGCGCAAAACGTGTGGCCTTGTGCCGAACTTATCCAAGCTTAGGTAATATCTGTAAAAGACAGAAGCAGTCGAAGAATGGCCGTGACGACGCGAAGCAGAAGAAAGCTGGCGTGGTAGCAAAAGGGGGAGGAAAAGTTTGTCGGAAAGAGATGAAAGTGGCGAGGGTAACGACTTCAGACTGTGACAGGGTTAGGAAAAGTGGTCGGAAGGGGAGGGGTAGATGAAGACGGTTTCAACGTAAAGGTGGGGTAGTACCGGAGACAAAATGGCGGTCGATGTTTCTACCGTTTGTCGTCGTCGGAGATGGCGTTGGTTACGAATACAGCGGGTCGTGGTCGTGGTCGTGGTTGAGGTGCTGGTCGTCGTAGTCGCTGTGATTACGCTGGACGTGATCACGTGATCAAGACGGACAGAAGAAATATGAGAGTGTATTGGCAGGTCGGCGAGAACACTGGCGATGGGAGAGGCTTGGCGGTCGAGGGAACGTCGGTAAAGGAAGAGATAGAAAGCGAAAGCAAAAAAAAAAAAAGGGCGGGAAGAGGCGGCCAGTTCGGTGGGGTAGGGGTGGACATCTTGCTGTTAAGACTGATGTCAGTAATGGCGGTGGTAACGAAATAGATAAGGGCGCGTGGTATAGAGGAAGACATAGTGGTTGAGTGGGGGAGGGGAAGGGGGTTTAAGAGAATGAGGCTAGCGGGAGAGGAGGGGGGGAATAATGGACTAACGGAGTGACCGGTAGAGAATTGGTGGGAATTTTATACGCGGCAAAGGAATGTTACTGAAACCAGTCGACCACAGATCTAATCATTTGACTGTCAGAAAAAGGACAAGCAGGACTCGGTGTAAGAATCACGTGACAAGAGACCACGACGACGATGTCCTGAAACGCACATGCGCACAGATCCACGCATTCATCTACACTCGCATAATGATTACGAAAATCCATGCTCACTACAGGATTGATTGCACCCTGTCAAGGTTGACTACAAGGGTAACAGCATTTATTTATTAAGTGTCTGAGTCTCCTATCTGGAAAGTAAGCGAGTTATGAGAAACGTGTCTAATCGAATATTTACTAATATGTTTTTTTTTATCTGTCAGCAATCTGTTCGTTTTCTAGATAAATGGCAATGGAGCAAAACGCATGTAAAAATACGTCCATGTCTTTTGTAAATGCGCCCCACCGTCGTAACATGGTCTCCATCTGTCTTTTCTATAAATTCTTTCATCGTAATCGTGAGCTCTTCCCAATCTTATCCAGACATTTTTTTTAATTTAAGCGCAATAATGTGTTGAATAATAATTTCAGACTATTATTTTTTTAGTGGCAGTGTATTTGGCCCAAACGTTCTGAGGCTGAACTTTAAGGTCAGATGGTAGACAAAATAGGAAAGTCGAATTTGATTGGCTGAGCCGAACGTGGATATGTTAGAGTTAGAAAGTGTTTTCAGGGAGTTCAGTTTTACACGTCATACACATTAGACGTATCTCGAAGAAACGAGAGTTTATATTTTTAAGTAGAAGATAAAAATTTTAGTAATTACATTGGATTTGCTTTTATTTTTCTGTTTTTTTCTCCGGACTCCTCTGATTTTTTAACTGTTTCTCCCCAAGCAAGTCGGAAAGCCACTAACACGCAAGAGAGTTGGAGCGAGAGCAAAGAGGAGTGATAGAGGAAAGGATGAAGAGAAGGATAGGGGATAGATCAAGGCATCTGGAGACGTCGATTGACATTACATTTGAATAGTTAGAGATTATAGCTATCAGGGAAACAGGAAACGGAGAGGGAGTTCCACAGGCGAGAAGTGCGAGACATGAAGCTATTGGCGTAGAAGATTTGAACGCTTAAATTCATGAAGCCTGGATACCAGTGAAAGCAGCTCATCGGAGCAGTTACCGTGAAAGTATTTGTAAAAAAAAGACAGAGGGAGGCGATGGCACGTCTGTGAGAAAGCGACTGCAGACCAGATGCCAGATCAGGGCCAATTACATTGCATATCCATCTCCGGATTTTATCGAGGACCTTGAGACAAGCAGAAGGGGCTCCAGACCATATATGGCAGCAATACTGCATGCAAGGGCGAATGTTTGATTACCAAAAATTTCTAATTTGAACATTTTGGTAGTAAGAGAAAGCCTGAATGATGAATGTACAGTTCTATCGTTTAAGCCTGGTGGTGGGTCTGTTATGGTGTCGGGTGTTTTGCGGAGAGAGAGGGTTAGAAATTTAATCCAAGTCAAGGGAATCCCGATAAAATTATATTCATAAATAAGGTAAGCCTTCAAGAACACCAGAAAGCTGTAACACGAGGGGAAGTGGAAAAATCAGGCATGGCTGACCACATATGGAGAGAGAAGGGAGATCAACGCCCTCTGTGGGATCAGGTTGAGATCATTGTCAAAGAACACCATTGGAAAATTCGTAAACTTAAGGAATCAGAACATATGCTAGGCCACAAAAATCTCCTGAGCCGACCAAGCATAGAAATGAATACAATGTGGTTAATAAGGAGCGCCAGAGAAAAGCGATAACAACAAAAATTGCAATATGAGCTCTCGTAAAAACATGGAATGATAACAGCAATAATTGCTATATGAGCACTGGTAAAAATGGTTGCTGAATACATTAGGTTTATAATACCCAGAAATTCATACACAGATGTCCTCAAGGACACATGGCACAGTGGATAAAGGCGTTCGTTAGATCCAGTGACAGGACCCAAAGAGTGGTGAGTTCAATACCTGGTTAAGGCAGTGGAGAACTTGGAGAGGTGAATTAACAAGAGATAACTGATAATTACGTGGCACGTGGAACTAGAACAGTCTACCACAGTGAGCCAAATAAAGGGTTCAGTTCGACATTCCAACCACCTGAAGAAGGCCGGAGCGTGCAATGGCCGAAACGTTGTAATAAATACGGCGACAAAGGTGAGGACACGAGTCCGAATAATGTAAATAGTATATCACTCGATTTTACAAGGAAAATGCTATACCATCGGGTTTACGCACCTTTCAACTAGAATTCATCGATTAAAAAAAAGAATGTCTGGGATGGTCTGCCATGTACTTTTTTTTAAGTCTAAGCTTCCTCCTTGTTTCCATCCTCTCCAAGACCTCATCGTTGCTCACATGTTAGGTTCATGATATCCTTAGCATCCTTCTCTAGAACCATACCTCCGTGGCCTCGAGTCTTCTTCATCTTTTAGGAGACCATCCAACTTCCGCTGCTGTAGCAGCTCAGTACTCTTTTCTTGTTACCAACGAATTTGAACCATTTCGTTATTTTTCAGTCTTTTCTCCGGGCTCTTCTGACTAACAAACATTTCAAATTTGAACCATTTCGTTATTTTTCAGTCTTTTCTCCGGGCTCCTCTGACTACCAAACATTTCAAATTTGAACCATTTCGTTATTCTTCAGTCTTTTCTCCGGGCTCCTCTGACTACCAAACATATCAGATTTGAACCATTTCGTTATTTTTCAGTCTTTTCTCCGTGCTCCTCTGACTACCAAACATTTCAAATTTGAACCATTTCGTTATTTTTCAGTCTTTTCTCCGGACTCCTCTGACTACCAAACATTTCAAATTTGAACCATTTAGTTATTTTTCAGTCTTTTCTCCGGACTCCTCTGACTACAAAACATTTCAAATTTGAACCATTTCGTTATTTCACAGTCTTTTCTCCGGGCTCCTCTGACTAACAAACATTTCAAATTTGAACCATTTCGTTATTTTTCAGTCTTTTCCCCGGGCTCCTCTGACTACAAAACATTTCAAATTTGAACCATTTCTTTATTTTTCAGTCTTTTCTCCTGGCTCCTCTGACGACCGAAAATTTCAAATTTGAACCATTTCGTTATTTTTCAGTCTTTTCTCCGGGCTCCTCTGACTAACAAACATTTCAAATTTGAACCATTTCGTTATTTTTCAGTCTTTTCTCCGGGCTCCTCTGACTACAAAACTTTTCAAATTTGAACCATTTCGTTATTTTTCAGTCTTTTCTCCTGGCTCCTCTGACTACCGAAAATTTCAAATTTGAACCATTTCGTTATTTTTCAGTCTTTTCTCCGGGCTCATCTGACTACCAAACATTTAAATTTGAACCATTTCGTTATTTTTCAGTCTTTTCTCCGGGCTCTTCTGACTACCAAACATTTCAAATTTGAACCATTTCGTTATTTTTCAGTCTTTTCTCCTGGCTCCTCTGACTACCGAAAATTTCAAGTTTGAACCATTTCGTTATTTTTCAGTCTTTTCTCCGGGCTCCTCTGACTAACAAACATTTCAAATTTGAACCATTTCGTTATTTTTCAGTCTTTTCCCCGGGCTCCTATGACTACCAAACATTTCAAATTTGAACCATTTCGTTATTTTTCAGTCTTTTCTCCGGGCTCTTCTGACTACCAAACATTTCAAATTTGAACCATTTCGTTATTTTTCAGTCTTTTCTCCGGACTCCTCTGACTACAAAACATTTCAAATTTGAACCATTTCGTTATTTCACAGTCTTTTCTCCGGGCTCCTCTGACTAACAAACATTTCAAATTTGAACCATTTCGTTATTTTTCAGTCTTTTCCCCGGGCTCCTCTGACTACAAAACATTTCAAATTTGAACCATTTCTTTATTTTTCAGTCTTTTCTCCTGGCTCCTCTGACTACCGAAAATTTCAAATTTGAACCATTTCGTTATTTTTCAGTCTTTTCTCCGGGCTCCTCTGACTAACAAACATTTCAAATTTGAACCATTTCGTTATTTTTCAGTCTTTTCTCCGGGCTCCTCTGACCACAAAACTTTTCAAATTTGAACCATTTCGTTATTTTTCAGTCTTTTCTCCTGGCTCCTCTGACTACCGAAAATTTCAAATTTGAACCATTTCGTTATTTTTCAGTCTTTTCCCCGGGCTCCTATGACTACCAAACATTTCAAATTTGAACCATTTCGTTATTTTTCAGTCTTTTCTCCGGGCCCCTCTGACTACCAAACATTTCAAATTTGAACCATTTCGTTATTTTTCAGTCTTTTCTCCGGGCTCCTCTGACTAACAAACATTTCAAATTTGAACCATTTCGTTATTTTTCAGTCTTTTCTTCGGACTCCTCTGACTACCAAACATTTCAAATTTGAACCATTTCGTTATTTTTCAGTCTTTTCTCCGGGCTCTTCTGACTACCAAACATTTCAAATTTGAACCATTTCGTTATTTTTCAGTCTTTTCTCCGGACTCCTCTGACTACCAAACATTTCAAATTTGAACCATTTCTTTATTTTTCAGTCTTTTCTCCGGGCTCTTCTGACTACCAAACATTTCAAATTTGAAACATTTCGTTATTTTTCAGTCTTTTCTCCGGACTCCTCTGACTACCAAACATTTCAAATTTGAACCATTTCGTTATTTTTCAGTCTTTTCTCCGGGCTCTTCTGACTACCAAACATTTCAAATTTGAACCATTTCGTTATTTTTCAGTCTTTTCTCCGGACTCCTCTGACTACCAAACATTTCAAATTTGAACCATTTCGTTATTTTTCAGTCTTTTCTCCGGGCTCTTCTGACTACCAAACATTTCAAATTTGAACCATTTCGTTATTTTTCAGTCTTTTCTCTGGGCTCCTCTGACTACCAAACATTTCAAATTTGAACCATTTCGTTATTTTTTTTTCAGTCTTTTCTCCGGGCTCTTCTGACTACCAAACATTTCAAATTTGAACCATTTCGTTATTT